TACTGTGTGCTAATCTTGTGGTGTATCAAATAATAATAATAATAATTGCAAGGACTCTGACACAAACCAGTAAAGGTGGTCCCAGTGATGATCGGCACACTGGGTGCAGTGCCTAAAGACCTTGACCTGCACTTAAACACAATCGGCGCTGACAAAATTACCATCTGCCAGCTGCAGAAGGCCACCTTACTGGGATCTGCACGCATTATTCGCCGATACATCACACAGTCCTAGACACTTGGGAAGTGTCCGACTGTGATCCAATACAACAGCCAGCAGAGTGTCTGCTGTGGAGTCATCCTGTGTTTCAAATAATAATAATTGTAATAATCATCATTATTATTACAACAAAGCATTGCATGGGCAGTTCCTTGACAAAATTGAAGGGAAAGTTGACGGGGAAAAGACCTGGTTATGGCTCACGAATGGAACCCTGAAGAAGGAGACCGAAGGCCTGATTCTTGCAGCCCAGGAGCAAGCCATCAGAACAAAGGCCATTAAGGCCAGGATCGAAAGTCAGCTGATGACCCAAAATGTAGACTGTGCAAGGAAGCGGATGAAACCATGGACCATCTCCTCAGCTGCTGCAAGAAAATTGCACAGATGGACTACAAACAGAGGCACAACTCTGTGGCCCAAATGATTCATTGGAATTTATGTCACAAGGACCACCTGCCTGCAGTAAAGAACTGGTAAAGAGATCATAAACCTGCAAAAGTAGTGAAAAATGAACACGCTAAAATACCGTGGGACTTTTGAATCCAGACTGACAAAGTTTTAGAACACAATACACCAGATATCACAATTATGGAAAGGAAAAAAGTCTGGATTATTGATGTTGCCATTCCAGGTGACATCAAGACCTCAAAATTGAACTGCAAAGGCTCTGATGGCATCAACCAGTCCAGGTGGTCCCAGTGCTCATAATGGGCACACTGGGTGCCATGCCAAAAGATCTCAGGCGGTAACAATACGATCTGTCAACTGCAAAAGACCACCTGACTTGGATCTGCACACATCATTCAAAAATATATCACACAGTCCTAGACACTTGGGAAGGGTTCGACTTAAGATTTTGTGATGTGAAATCTAGCATATATATCTTGTTTGCTGTGTCGTACTGTTATATTATATTGATGTATATAATATATATATGTATGTGTATATGTGTGTGTGTGTGTGTGTGTGTATGTATACACACTATTATTAATACACTCATATAATGCAGTTCAGTGTTGTATTTTTATTGTATATTAACTGTGTTGAAAAAGGTAAGGTTTCCTCTGTTGGTAAATCAAGATAAATCACCTTCCTTATCTCAGCTGCTTCAACCTTTCAAGCTTCTGCTTGAAGGCACAAAGTGGTAAAAAACATTGGACTCTCCTTCATTTCAGCTTTTACGAGAAAACTGCGCTTATCTTTTATTATGTACACAATTTACAAGACAACCATCAATCATGTCGGCCCACATCTCGGCTCACTGCAAGAAGCCCATTCCTTTCATATCGGTCTTTCTTTTCCGGCCTGCACAGGAACCTCCAAAAGTGATGTTCTACCAATATGAAACATCTCTATGTATTAACTCCTGCATTACAGAAACCACAAAGTTTGAACTATAAGCAATTTTCGTTCTATGTAACATTGCTAGCCGTCCCCTGCCATGCGTTGCTGTGGCCCAGTCTGTGTATATGTGTGTATATATTTGTGTATATGTGTATATATGTGGTTTTGTGCATGCGCTGTAATGTACTTTTTTGTTGTTTTTGGCTTCTTAAATATCTTCTGCTGTTTTTTCAGTGTTTTTATGAGTGATGGTCACTTGTTGGCCTGAGAGGTGTCTTGTGTCCAAATTTGGTGTCAATTCCCAGTGGTTTTTGAGTTATGTTAATCCCACAAACGAACATTACATTTTTATTCATACAGGCTAGCGATCCCCAGCCACGCATTGCTGTGGCCCAGTCTGTGTACATATGTTTTGTGTATGTATCTATGTGTGTGTGTATATATTTGTGTATGTGTGTATATATGTGTGTTTGCGCATATATATGTGTGTGTGTGTGTGTGTGTGGTTTTGCATATGAGTTGTAATGTATTTTTTTAAATTTTGGATTTTTAAGTCTCTTCTGCTGTGTTTTTATGAGTGATGGTGTCAATTCACCCAGTGGTTTTTGAGTAATGTTAATCTTACAAACGAACATTACATTTTATTTGTATAGATATACTAGCATCCCCTGACATTAAGTTTAGTTGTGTCTGACTCTGGGGGATAGTGCTTATCTCTATTTCTAGGCCGAAGAGCCAGTGTTGTCCATAGACACCTCCAAGGTCATGTGGCCGGCATGACTGCATGGAGCGCCGTTACCTTCCGGCAGAAGCGGTACCTATTGATCTATTCACATTTGCATGTTTTCGAACTGCTAGGTTGGCAGAAGCTGGGCCTAGCGGCAGTAGTGCACCTTGCTCCCTGGATTCGAACTGCCAACCTTTTGGTCAGCAAGGTCAACACCCCCAGGGGCTTAGACTGTGTTACTTGAGTTTAAATTGACCATGTAATGCATTTTCACACTGTGTTGTACAGCAGTGTAGACAAGGACACTGTGGACAGGTGCTGCCTTTGCCTTCTTAGGCTATTGTACCAGTTTTTCCATAAGTCAAAAAATGGCATTGATGGCAGTTTCTACTCTGCCTTTTCTTTTTAGGGTGGATTTTTACTTGATGGCTCATGCACCACGACAAGGCTGTGGCATCCCTACTCGCTACATCTGCGTACTAAATACGGCTAACCTTAGTCCCGATCACTTGCAGAGGTGAGTGTGTTTTATGTGTAATACTGAGGCAAATCCTACTGCAGTGGAACCATGGAAGCCAATCTGATTCGAGCAGTTTTCTGCCTTGGAAGGTGATGAACCCTCCTCCATCATTGGATATCCTTCAACACAAATTCACTGACAGAAGGCTGACAAGTTCTTTTCATTTTGATGTTCTTAGAAGGGGTGACTTAGAGATTTCATTCATTGCAGTGAGTCTATTCTACTTGAGATAAACCCTTTGCATTTTTGATATAATAGTTTGATATAATTTTAATCCTCCCATGCAGAGCGCATGGAACGTGAGTCCTTTGTGGGGATTTGGAGTTTAAGTTACTGGCTCACTTTCAAACAGTATCTTAGGTGTGATATGTTAATGGGATTTCTTTTGTCTTCTTCAAAACCCTTCGTGTCCGCTGGAGATTGGTTCCAATATCTATTATTTTATTACATTTATTATTTTACTCTATTTATTGTTATTACATTTATTATTTTCTCTATTGTTGTGGCTATTACATTTAATTTTTTACTTTATTATTATTACATTTACATGGTTTTATTCTATTATTTTTAATGTTTATTTTACTCTATTTTTTTTACATTTATTAATTTACTCTAGTATTTTTATTACATTTATATTGTCAAAGGCTTTCATGGCCGGAATCACTGGGTTGCTGTAGGTTTTTTTCAGGCTATATTGCCATGTTCTAGAGGCATTTTCTCCTGATGTTTCGCCTGCATACCTCTGAGGATGCTTGCCATAGATGCAGGTGAAACGTCAGGAGAAAATGCCTTTATTGCATTTATTATTTTACTCTATTATTTTTATTACATGTATTATTTTACTTTCTTATTATATTTATCATTTTACTTTATTATTTCTATATTTATTATTTTATTCTATTATTACAATTTTATTACATTTATTATTTTACTCTCTTTATTATTATTGGGAGGATACATAAGGATACTTACATCGAAGAAGGTTAGAATAATGGTTTAATCAGAGTTGGACAGTCTTATTATAAATTACAGTTTTAGGTAAATATTCAAAAACATTTAACCTACTGATGCCTCAATTAATGTAAGTGATTTTAATCTTGGTATATATTTATGGTTTTATGTCCCGGCATTGAATGTTTGCTGTATATATGCTGTGCTCCGCCCTGCGTCCCCTGCAGGGTGAGAAGGGCGGAATATAAATGTCTTAAATAAATAAACAAATGTAATTTTATTGGTATCTATTTTTATTTTGAAATTGACCAGTATCTGCTGCATTTCCCACCCTCGGCTTAGACCCGAGTCAATCCTTTTTCCAATTTTTTGTGGTAAAATTAGGTGCCTCATCTTATATTTGGGTCGGCTTATACTCGAGTGTATATGGTATTAGATCTGTGAATACAGAATCTATCGATACATAAGGCCAAATATTTTGATTGTGGTTTATGATAATAATAATAAGAAGAAGAACAGCTTTATTTATGTTTCACCCGCCTCTTCTTTTGGCTTGAGACGGTGCACAACATAATCACTAAAAACACATAGTTAAAATACAACCATAAAGACATATATTAAAACACTAGCTGTCCCCGGCCACACGTTGCTGAAAGTGTTGGTTTCTAATCTATGTCATGTCTTGATGCTTGTGGGTAAACAGTATTTCTTGCTGTTTCTTTGTCAGTGTTGATGTGGAGAGTGTCTGGTTTGCCTACTCTGGAATATGCAACATATCATTGTCTTTCTTTAGGGGTCCCTTTCAAATCTATGATACCATATCTGTGTGTGAATCATATCTATCTATCTATATCTATGGCTGGATGTCTCTTTGTCAGGAGCGCTTTGATTATGTTTTCTTGCCCTGATGAAGGGAGTTGGATTGGATGGCCTTAAGTATTTTCTGTTACTTAACCCGTGGGGGTTCAGTGTGGGAAGTTTGCCCCGATTCTGTCGGTTCAGAATGCTCTTTGATTGTAGGTGAACTGTGAATCCCAGTGACTACAACTCTCAAATGTCAAGGTCTATTTCCCTCAAACTCCATCTGTGTTCATATTTGGACGTATTGAGTGCTTGTGCCAAGTGTGGTCCATATCCATCATTGTTTGAGTCCACAGTGCTCTCTAGATGTAGGTGAACTACAACTCCCAAACTCAAGGTCAATGCCCACCAAACCCTTCCAGTATTTTCTGTTGGTCATGGGAGTTCTGTGTGCCAAGTTTGGTTCCATTCCATCACTGGTGGAGTTCAGGATGCTCTTTGATTGTAGGTGAACTATAAATCCCAACAACTACAACTCCCAAATGACAAACTCATAATGTTTTGAGTGATGGTCACTCCTTGTGTTGTGAGACGTTTTGTTGCCAAATTTGGTGTGATTTCGTTCATGGGTTTTTTTGTTTTTAAGTTACTCATTACACAGAGCATTTATATATATATAGATACACGTATTAAAATGTATGAAACAAAAGATAAAACACAACAAATATGTGATTTTAAGAGTCATAGTTAAAATGGACTTGATAGGCCTGTTTCCTTCTGTCCTTACAATGCGCATTTTCTCTTTTCTTTTTGTTTGGTTTTCTCCATCATGCTCCAGTCTTCTTTCAGTTTTGGCATTTATTGTAAACTTGGAAAGTAGGGCCTTATGGATTTTACTAGGTGAACAATTATTACTTCATATTTTTGTCAAAGGGTTTAAGGTCAAGTCACAACACAGCTATAGAATATCAAGGTTTTGTGGAAATTCTAATCTGGATGTTTTGTTTGCTCCTCTTCTCCCTCCTGGTTTTTATAGGTTGACTTTCAAGCTTTGCCACGTGTACTGGAACTGGCCAGGGACTATCCGAGTGCCAGCCCCTTGCAAATACGCTCACAAGCTGGCCTTTCTCTCAGGACAAGTTCTACATCACGAACCAGCCATCGAGCTCTGCGAAAAGCTCTTCTTCTTATAGTTTTGGCAGCTGACACAACTTTGAGGCAGCGGTGAATGCAGAGGTAACTCTTTGGTGGAGAACACAAGCCAGCCTCAAATCAATACCACAAACATGAACAGCCAAGCTATTTCACTACTGAACATTCTTTGGTAAATAGCAAGCTTAGCAGTGAATTACTGGCATTTTTTTTTTTGATTTTTGTGAAATATGAAAATTTCAGAGAGCAATACTTTGGACTATTGTGTGTGTTTCTCTCTCTCCCTCCCTCTTTCCAAATTCAGAATTATACCATAGCAGAATTTTCAATTTGAATTGATGATTAGAAACTCTCTGTCTATAATCCCATCAATATTTTATTTAATTGAGATTACAGAGGAATCCCCAAACCCGTTCTTGTAGGACTGAGCCACACCAAATGCGGAGCTAGTTTCCAGAAGGTACCAAATCCATCTGAACACATTTTACAGGGACTGAAAAGAAAAGTGCTGAGGATATGCATTCTTTTGCTGTGAAACGCAGTTTTCCAAACCCTGTACATAAGTGACATTGGGATAGTTTTGATCTGTGTATAATATTCTGTAGCTTGCAAACTATGTGTTGCCACCTCTAACTCATTTGGTTCCTTTTGGAAACAAACTTCACAAAGATTTAAAAAGCTTATTTCTCCATCGTGGTCCCGGTGAAATAATAATAATAATAATAATAATAATAATAATAATAATAATAATAAACCTGTATTTATACCCCGCTACCATCTCCCAAAGGACTCGGTGTGGTTTACAACAGGCCGAGCCCAAATACATCAGTAAAACACAACAATAACAGTACAATAATAAAAAAACTTCATAAACAAAGCAAAAAACATAAACAATAACACCGCGGCACATTAAAACCTGTGGCAGGGCCAAATGTAGTGCTTAAAATCTTTAAAAATGTTGGGCATGATCAGGTGAAATAGGATAGAAATCGCACCTATGGTCTATCTTTGATTCTAAGGTGCACTCCCCCCCCCCCTTCATGTAAACATTTCTAAAAATGGCCGCCTCTTAGAATTGCAGGTGCCTCTCTTATATATAAATAATGCCTTTTCCCCCCTGTTGATAGTACTGAAATTGGAGAGCATCTTAAGTGATACATCTTGGAATGGAAGAAATACCACCCAGTGTAGTTGAATATAAAGATGTAACCACATTGCCTGGTTGGCATTTTTGGCAACTAATGTGTTCAGTTGTTCAAGTAGATGGCAGTAAAGTGCGAGAAATGAAAAAGGATTCACAAGGGTGTTGCAAGACAGACCCGTTAAAGCACCAGAACAATATTAATTAAAGTACAGTTTATTAGTTAACAATCAATCTTGCTCGTGAGTAGTCTTTCTTCCCCTCCTAATACTCTCAGTAGTATCACTACTCGAAGACTCCATCACAACACAAGGGTGTACGATAATTAGATGTGTCTCCATTCGTCAGTAGGTAAAGGTGTTCCTTGCTGCTAGGTAGAAGTCTTGAGACTAAACTGAGCTGGATGGTTTTCAGTGTAGGAGGATGAGTGAAAGATACAGTACTGGTCCTAAACCTAGAAGGAAAAGGGAAGGCGCTGGGCCTCATCAACCTGCCACTGAGTACAATGTGACGGAAGGATTGGTGTTAGCATTGGATCGGTGTTAGCACTCCACTTTGGGCAGGTCCTGTCCTTGTGCACAGAGAGCAATAGCATTCATTCCATTGTCGAAGGCTTTCATGGCCGGAATCACTGGGTTGTTGTAGGTTTTTGGGCTATATGGCCATGGTCTAGAGGCATTCTCTCCTGACGTTTCGCCTGCATCTATGGCAAGCATCCTCAGAGGTTGTGAGGTCTGTTGGAACAGAGAAGGCCATCAAATGCTAATCAAGGTGGTCAGTTGAAACATTCACACCTAGCTCCAACAGACAAGAGTCCTTTGTCTCACCCTGGTCATTCCACAGATATATAAACCCTTTTTCCTAGTTCCAACAGACCTCACTACCTCTGAGGATGCTTGCCATAGATGCAGGCGAAACGTCAGGAGAGAATCCTCTAGCAGTGGTTCTCAACCTGGGGTCCCCAGATGTTTTTGGCCTACAACTCCCAGAAATCCCAGTTAGTTTACCAAGCTGTTAGGATTTCTGGAAGTTGTAGGCCAAAAACATCTGGGGACCCCAGGTTGAGAACCACTGCTCTAGAACATGGCCATATAGCCCAAAAAATCCTACAACAACCCAGCATTCATTCCCCTGTGCCAGGTTTCTTTGTGTTGTTATGTTTGCATGAGGAGGATGGGGCCAAAACACTGGGAAGGAGGGATGATTACCTTTGCCGTTGCCCAGTGATCTCACTGAAAATCACAAGGATGGGAATGAGATTAGGGAGAGTGTACAAGGCAGTGTAGACTCATATAATCCAGTTCAAATCAGATAATCTGGGTGGCGGTTTAGATCTAGCTGGAGTAGCTAAAAGCAGTTTTTCAAAGGACGGTTGTTGCCCAGTTTGGTTGGGACGTAGAAGTATTAGAGGAGCACAGACACCTTCAACCCTTTCCCTTTCCAAACCTTGCACTGGAAAACAGGAAGAGTCAATCTAAACACAAAAGTTCACCCAACTGTTAACTTTCATGTATGGCTTAATAATTGACTTTCTCTGTATCTCTTAATATGCTACTGATAGTACGTTATCCGGTTTTATTTCCCAGCCCTGCCACAACTGGACTGGACTTTGACTCAGTTTATCAAAATATAGGAAACAGGCCAGGCCAGTCTTGGGGCATTTGGGAGGATGGAGCTATGGGATTGGCAGAAAATGACCGTGGAGGGAGAGAGCAGACACACACACCAAGAAGAAAGAGGAGTTGACCTTTCTTTGGAAGGAATGGCAGAGAGCTCTGGGTTCGCCTAAGGCACATTGGGGTATAGGCTTCTCTGCAGGCGGGATCTGGAATACAAGTCGAAATGCTGCCTTGGAGATGTGCTTTTTATCCACCTCTATTTGGTTGCGCTTACGTATTTGTGAATAAAACAGATACTGTAAAGTTGACAAGCATCCAATGTAATCTCCTCCAAAGGAAAAACACTAATAGTTGTTCTAGTTGTGGCCACTAGCTCTGTATATGGTTACATTATGTTTATTTAAGTTCAATTGTGTATTATTTTTTATTTAGTTTTATAAATTTGTTTTGAGATTGCTTTATTCGCTGTTTGGATTTGATTTATCGTTGTCTGTTTTTCGCATTGAATGTTTGCCATTTTGTTACTTTTGTTGGAAACTGCCCCGAGTCCCCTCGAGGAGATAGGGCAGGGTACAAATACATCATCATCATCATCATCATCATCATCATCATCATCATTATTGGTGGGGCCCCTGGTGGTGCAATGGGTTAAACCCTTGTGCTGGCAAGACTGAAGACCCGACGGGTCGGAGGGTCAAATCCGGGGAGAGTGCGGATGAGCTCCCTCTGTCAGCTCCAGCTCCCCATGTGAGGACACGAGAGAAGCCTCCCACAAGGATGATAAAAACATCAAAAATCATCTGGGCATCCCCTGGGCAACGTCCTTGCAGACGGCCAATTCTCTCACACCAGAAGCGACTTGCAGTTTATCAGGTCGCTCCTGACACGACAAAAAAAAATCATCATCATCATTATTGGTGGGGCCGCTGGTGGTGCAATGGGTTAAACCCTTATGCTGGGAAGACTGAAGACAGACAGGTCAGAGGTTCAAATCTGGGGAGAGCTCAGATGAGTTCCCTCTGTCAGCTCCAGCTCCCCATGTGAGGACACGAGAGAAGCCTCCCACAAGGATGACAAAACATCAAAAACCTCTGGGCATCCCCTGGGCATCATCCTTGCAAACAGCCAATTCTCTCACACCAGAAGTGACTTGCAGTTTGTCAAGTCACTCATGACACGAACCCCCCATGAATACCACATTCTGTGGATGCTGAAGTCCTGTTATAAACGCATCGGCATAGTAAAAGGGTATCTCTTACATACAATGGCAAAACCACAATTTGCATTTTGGATTTTAAAAAATAATTCCCAAGCTGCGGGTTTTTAAAAAAATACGTGGATGGAGATATGAAGAGCCAACTGTGGTGAATCAATCTATCTATCTATCTATCTATCTATCTATCTATCTATCTATCTATTAATCTATCAATCTATGGCATTTATATGCTTCCCTTCTCACCCCAAAGGGGATTCAGAGCAGCTTAAAATATATTTTCATACAATATATTATATTATTAGCACAGTACAACATCAGTATAGGCAAAACTACGGTGAGGTGGATCAGTGATTGGTTAAGTGGACGAGCCCAGAGGGTGATTCTCCCCAAGGCTTCCTCCTCCTCATCCTGGAAAGAAGTGACGAGCGGAGGGCCATCTGCAGGGTTCTTCCGTCCTGGGCCTGCTCCTGCTCAGGATCTTCATTCATGACTGAGATGAAGGGCTAGAAGGCAGGATCATCACGTTTGCAGACGACACAAATTGGGAGGGATAGCCAACACTCCAGAGGACAGGAGCAGGATTCAAAATGATCTTGACAGATTAGAGAGATGTGGCCAAAACTAACAAAATGAAGTTCAACAGGGACAAATGCAAGAGACTCCACTTTGGCAGAAAAAGAAATGCAAAGATACAGAATGGGGGACAATGAGGCCTGGCTCGAGAGCAGGACGTGTGGAAAAAATCTTGGAGTCCTCGTGGACAACAAGTTAAACATGAGCCAGGAATGTGATGTGGCGGCAAAAAAAGCCAATGGGATTTTGGCCTCAGGCATCAAGAGGAGCCTAGTGTCTAGATCTAGGGAAGTCATGCTCCCCATGCTCTATTCCGCTTTGGTTAGACCACACCTGGAATATTGTGTCCAA